ATATTAATTTTATACTAATTATAAATGTTTTATTTAGAGTAACAGAAAGATTGCCTATTGAAATATAATAACAGGTTTAATCGTAATTAATAATGTCGAATATTTTGATAACGGCGAGAAAAGTGTCACGAATCAAAAATTTTGAATATTCATTTTAACGCGTGGAATATTTTTTAACACACAGATTCACCACCAGGAGAAATTGTCCGAAGTTGAACTGTAATACGTCGAGTGAGTAAGCTTTAGTTGACGTACGTTTCGTAATACTGTAATTAAGTTAATTTTTCGAACAGAAATTTTCTTTTCACTCTCTTGAAAAATTTCACGTTTTCCACTTGTGACGGCTTTCTAACGGGGTTGAGATATCTTTGTTATCAATGTCATTAGTGTTCAACGTTATTTACCATAATGCTGTAATTGAGTAATTTTTTAAACAGAAATTTCTTTTCACTCTCTTGGAAAATTTCATGTTTTCCACATGTGACAGTTTTCTCGCCTTCACTTTTCACTGTCATTGATATTTCTGTTACAACTCACATTCAACTTTATTCGTAAAGACGATCGTCAGATGGTCTTCAGCAGGGTAGCTCGTGGAAGATGAATTTCTCACGAATGAAATGTAGGTTATTTATTAAAAGGACACCCTTGGATTTCACAATGCCTCGTGTGCGTTCTGCATTGTCTTCAGTTGCGAGTAATGAGTATATGTCAGTAATATCTAATACTCTCTCAGCGGTGTATCAACAGTATAAATCTGGGAGCACTGCAGCTTCTGGCTTGTGAATACCATAATAGGTTCGGAAACTCGAAGATACAGATGTACCAAAGTGGACGAGGTGGCATATTAAATGAAAAGATTCTAACGACCCTTCATTGCCACCTGACACTCTTGTCCGTTTGTACGGGCATAATTCTATCGTAAATATAACAAATTGATTATTCAGTTTTGAGTCTATACAATTCCGTACAATTGCCGTGGCATGGAAACTCACAGTTGGGTCTCCGCCAACATAGTTTTAATACACCTGTTAACTACGTAATCCGTGTACTTTTACGGGGATGTTATGACGTCGTTCTTTCCTCGAGAAGTGTACATTGAAATTTTATCGGTGAAACGTACTATGCAGGGTGTTCGTCGTAACAACAAAGTTGTGAAAGAGAAATTAGTTAATACTCAATCGGCAACAGATTGCAATAACAAAAATTGCCGAAATACTTTCTCTTCGATAAAAAATCAGGATTACCTTCATTTTTCTTAGGTGGCTTCGTATAATTTTTTCTATCTATACTAGTATTCTAGATAGAGGCGTTGAGACAAATTCAACGATAGTAGATGAAGTTGGTTTCCTTCGATAATTTGTTTTCAAAAATCATTCGCAAATGTAATAAGGTTCTTTATTAATATGCAAGTCAAACGGTGGTAGACGGTATTCGCGTTTTTAAATTTTTTTAAAAATTTTAGATTAAAATTTTGAAAATTAAGGCGAAAGTTCGCAAAGAATATGAATCAAGGCTTAAAGTAAGCTGAGAGTGTGTCAAAGAGCGCCAAGCACAGTGCAAGAAAATTTTCAAAGCGCTTATAGACACCAAGGGCACAATGTCTTCGTATAATTTTTTCTATCTATACTAGTATTCTAGATAGAGGCGTTGAGACAAATTCAACGATAGTAGATGAAGTTGGTTTCCTTCGATAATTTGTTTTCAAAAATCATTCGCAAATGTAATAAGGTTCTTTATTAATATGCAAGTCAAACGGTGGTAGACGGTATTCGCGTTTTTAAATTTTTTTAAAAATTTTAGATTAAAATTTTGAAAATTAAGGCGAAAGTTCGCAAAGAATATGAATCAAGGCTTAAAGTAAGCTGAGAGTGTGTCAAAGAGCGCCAAGTACAACGCGAGAAAATTTTCAAAGCGCTTATAGACACCAAGGGCACAATGTGAGAAAATTTTCAAAGCGCCTATAAGCGCCAATAGCGGCGCAAGAAAATATTCAAAACGCCTATAGGCGCCAAAGGTACAACGCGAGAAAATTTTCAAAGCGCTTATAGGCGCCAATAGCAATGCAAGAAAATTTTCAAAGCGCCTATAGGCGCCAATAGCAGTGCAAGAAAATTTTCGAAACGCCTATAAGCGCCAATAGCGGTGCAAGAAAATATTCACAAAGCCTATAGGCGCCAAGGGTACAACGCGAGAAAATTTTCAAAGCGCCTATATGCGCCAATAGCGGCGCAAGAAAATATTCAAAACGCCTATAAGCGCCAAGGGTACAACGCGAGAAAATTTTCAAAGCCCTTATAGACGCCAATAGCAATGCAAGAAAATTTTCAAAGCGCCTATAGGCGCCAATAGCAGCGCAAGAAAATATTTAAAACGCCTATATCCGCCAAATACACAACATGAGAAAATTTTCACACAGCCCACAGGCTCCAAAATTTGTTTCTAAAATATTTCTCAATCACTCGAACATCTCTGACGTAATTTTCCATAAATGAATCACATTAAAAGTGTCCTAAAAAAATGTCTTCCTCTATAATGAACGAATCTTAGAAATGACCAAAAGACGTTTAAATGGAATACAACGAAATTTATGCGTAGTAAGAACACAATTCTCGTCCATATTATATTGCTTCGTTGGATAAACTGTGTCTGAACGTTCTCCGTGTTTTCATCGTTTAATTTCAACCACACACACACACAGATCAGAAATTGTTTGGTAAAATGGCACGCGCGAGAAATAACTTGCGTAAAATGTTTCCTCCAATTGCTAAGTTTTATCTTTCCATGCTCCTTTCCGATTTCGATGTTCCATATAGCTATTGTTTAGTGAATGAAAGGGCCGTTCTTATGACTCGCCGATATGACGATAGGGGATGTCGTCGGCAAGACATAATCTGTCAGGCGCAGGCTTGATGACGTTTATATAATCACGTGGTTAAATTGTTGTACTGTTGTCAGCACGCTTATGTAACTGGAATTCACCAGCATTCTCGCGAGAAGTACGAAAATGCGTGATATGACCATGCAATATCATTTCCCTCCTCGTATATACATGCATGCTTACATACATATTTTACGAATGTGTGTAAAATGTTCGCACTCCGTATTAAAAATTTGTACAATATAAAATTTCGTTAAATTCTTATATAATTTTACCGTGAAACAGAGAGAGAGAGGCAGTAAATGTATCAAATATACGTGGGCGTGGAACACGTTTCCATTGATTGACGATTAATCGCTTTGCCATTGTATTCGAAAAAGTGGATATTTTCCTCTCTTTTGAATTATCAAGATTTTAGATCAAGCTTGTGATTAGGTCACGACATAGAAAATACGTGTAATAAAATTATATAGGAGGCTGAAATATAGGAGATTCGATAATCTTTTCCACGCATGAACGAATCGATTCGAAGTTTCTCTGCTACGGTGTTTAGTAATAATTTCGATATACCCTATGTACCAATTATTTACAATTATTTTCAGGATTTTATTGCATCTAGTTTATTCGTAGTTTGTTCAATTGTACTGTTTCTTTTTTTTTTTTATTCGATATTTATGTAAATCAAAGGAATCAGTGTATCGATCACTGTTGATTTGTCGTTTTGCGAGTACTTCGCAATTTAATGTCTCGCACGTTTAAAGTGCAAGGGAGGCGTTCGTCCTGTTTCTTTTACGTCTGAGTGAACAATTCGGAGCTTAATTAACAAGTTATCGGGCCAATTATAAAAACGTACAATGGCCTAAAGAAGAGAGAGAGGGTCTAATTTGCCTGGCGATCTTTTAACGAACGATATGAATCGCGATGCTTCGTAAATAATTTATCTTATTTCCGTATTTTTATTCGCGTCGTGAATTTGAATGAAAGAAGAACTGTTGTATTTACTTTCTTTATTAGTAAGTGGCAATTTTATGAAATTTTGTCCTTTTATTTCTGTCCTTTCTTCACATTACAGTTTTTAATAAAAGAAAAATAATTATTGTATTAATTTTCTTTATTAGCAATTTTATGAAATTTTGCATGAAGTTAGCGAAACTTGATTTAATAATAAACAACTGTAACATTCTAATATTTTTGTCAACAGAAGAATAAACAGAAAATTAAAAATTAAAACTTTTTAATTATATCTTACTGGACGAAAGAGATTTGTTGAAATTAATACGAATTTGTATTCGTTCAAATCGAATTATTTATGAACTGAGAAATACACACGTAAGCCGAGACATTCTCATGGAACGATATATCTTTTCTTGCATTTTTAATCGCTGTCTAACACATATTTCGTGTCTCAGTATCGTGCTGCGTAAATCTGACAGACTATCGGGCTTCCTCTGCAAGAGTTTGACGTACAACGCTTCTGGAAAGAGTTTCAAATTTCTTACAGTTAGATTCGACAAAAACTGCAAAACAATACTTCTACATTTCGATATTTAAACGCAAATGCATCTTACGCTTTGCAAGGAGTAATCGATAAATCACTTTTTAACTGGAAAAATGATAAATCAAATGAATAATATTTTAACTGCAAAAATGATGAATGAAATCAATCATTTTTTAACAGCAGAAATGCTGAATCAAATCAATAATTTTTTAAGAGAAAAATGATAAATTATATCAATAATTTTTTAACAGCAAAAATGCTGAATCAAATCAATAATTTTTTAAGAGAAAAATGATAAATTATATCAATAATTTTTTAGCAGGAAAAATGACGAATCAAATCAATAATTTCTTAGTAAAGGAAATGATAAATCGAGTTGATAATTTTTTAACAGCAGAAATGCTGAATCAAATCAATAATTTTTTAAGAGAAAAATGATAAATTATATCAATAATTTTTTAACAGCAAAAATGCTGAATCAAATCAATAATTTTTTAATAAGGGAAATAATAAATGATAAACGTTTTACGTATGTGATAAATTTGTAAATTCACGTATTCATTTGCTATGTGATTTTCTACTTGCTATAGCACAATTAATATTTTGATTGTAGATAATTGGGCCATGCAGCCAAATGAAGAATCAAGTGGAACTGCTCGAAGAAGATTTGAGGGTATGCTTACCTTTTCATAATTTCATTCTAGTACTTATTGTGATAGGTACAATAAACTTTAGTAGATATATTTATTGTAATACAATAATTAATACTATCACTGATTAGAAGAAACAAAAGACATTTACTAACTGGATATGTTATCTGAAAACACTACTATATCAATATTTCATTGCACATTGCCCAATATTTACTTTTATTATCATATTACTATCATTATAATCGAGTCTGATAATCTCGTTAGTTCTTAGTTACTACTATTTCTATTTATTATTAATAATACATTTTTGTTATTATTACTTTTGGTCAATTTCGTATTACGAGAAAATATGAAGTATGCTTCAAGTAAAAGTTTTAAATGTAATTTTCACCATTGTTTCCATGAGATCGTATTATGTTAATAATGAGTGATCAAGATAATATTTAATATCAGTTAGTATAAATAAAAGGATACAATTAAGAATAATTAATAAATAAAGAAATATAAATGAAAAAGCAATAACTCAAACTAGACGAAAATAAAAAAGCGACAATTCTAAATATTCTCACGTAGCAAATGTTAATTTTTAGGGTCTTTGAGCAATTGTCCAAATGTACAATATGTTTAGCCACTTGCTGAAAGTTTCTATCGATTTTGTGAAGTGTCGGTCATTTACTAGAGATAAATTTCGAATTAAAAGTTCGCAAGTGTGTTCTTTGCTTCAGTTTGAGTTCAACAGTGCAATAACAAAGTATTGAAATTAACGCAATACAAAGCGAATATATCAGATAATCGAACGATTGCTATTGTTCAATGGTTGCAATGCTTGTTATACGAGCATAATTGAATCACAAAAGAATATGTTTTCACGGGCAACAGGTTTTTCCGAGACAGTATTGTGTTACGGAAAGTTGACCAGTGTTATCTTACCAATCAACGTGAAGAACAGATTTCCAGAATCTTTGGTCACTCAAGAATCTGAGAAAATAATTGATACATTGATATCTTGACGGTAACTGAAGAATGTTGAATGAGTAAATAATTCAAGATAAAATACCATTAAACTTAACAAAATGAAAAATATCTCATTAGATTGTTTACATTCTCGTGCTCGTTTCAACCGAACGCAAAATTTTTTAATTTTTGTTCAAAGTAAATGATTTAGATAAAACTTGGATTCTATAATCCTAGATATTGATTATCATATGCAAATTATTGAAATATTTCACGTTACGGAGAAAATGTACAAGAATATTCACAGAAATAGTGTAATATATAGATGAAAATAAAATAAACAACAGCTGTTTTTTTAAATAAATTTCAAAATTGAAGCTCGTCACAAAAGGTATTGTATGAGCTACAAATTGACAATGCATAAAGAACTATCTTTTAGAAAATGAATGGAAAGATTAATTCAGAAAGTGACTGCTTGTCGTTGATAATACAGCAGCCTGAGTGTTAATGTAACTTTTATTACCTTATGTAATATAACGACAATCATTTCCTTAGTACTTGCAATATCGCACTGGAGCAGCCAATCGAAAGTAATTAATCATTTTAAAGCAAATATTTTGAAATTTTTTAAATTTTTGTACATTTGATCGTATACTCCTGAAAATATTACCAATCGACAGGCGATATTTTGTCCACGGAAATTTTGTAAACAAATTTTTCAATTTTTATACTTTTCGTCATATGTTCATCATGTGCCACAATATTTTCTGTGACAAAGTCTAAGCTCGATTTGAAAATTAGAGTATTTTGGTAGTGCTTGGAAGTGCAATACTGGCTATATAAGATCAAGACATTAAAACTCTATGTATCGATTAATAATATCCTCATAATAGTATAAACACGTAATCAACGATCACTTTCAAAAATCCAAATATTAAAGTTCAAATACACACAAAGATTCAATCTCGTAAGTCTCTTCAACCCCTTAGCGCTCACATTCTTCCCAACTTGGTGCGCCAAAAACGATCAGCGTTATTTCATCTCTAATTACTTCCTGGGCGTATATAGAATTAAGTTTCTCATTATCCCTAATGCTGTAACTTACGTTTCTACCATAAATAAAAAAAAGCACCGCAATACAGAAAGTGAAAAAAAAATAATCACCCAAAATTGCACTTATTTGAGGATTAGTCGCGCACGTGTGAGACACGAGCGTAAAGGGGTTGAAAAAATGTTCAAACTTCAGAGGAACCGAATTTTTTCCATAGTAGTTAAATAACGCCTGGCTATAATACACCATTTCGAAAAAGAGAGGAAAAAAAAAGAGGGAAGAAGGGGCAAATTTTCGAACGAGGGATCACACCGAATCGTCGTTGCAATTTTGTACCAGGTAAACACGACCGATCCCGTGTTTGTCACATTCGAGGATTAGTTGCGAGCCAGCGGAATGTTTCACTTGGAAAGTTTACGCCCAACGGTAAGCCGATGGTCCCCGTTAACAAAGGTTAAGGATCGTTGTTTCAAACACATCGTTTCTCCGCGAATAATTGGATAAGCGTACAGAGGGAGAGGGAGAGAGAGAGAGAGAGAGAAGGCAGCGTGCGAAATCAGCGTAAATTAATCGAGCAGGCTGATCTCCGGTTACCGAAAAATCACGCTAATGAGTATGCAGGGCCGATTTAGAGAAGGGATTGAGAAAGCTCTCTGTAGTTACTTCAAACGTCGATATCGATCATAAATTGGAGGATGATACATGGGGACGTATCGATGACAACAATTACCGTTGTGCTACAAACAGATCGGTGCATTCGGACCGGCTATCGGGCTTAATTCGTGTAATTAGTGCTAATTAATACAGTGCACTCGAGTCTCGCGAAATCTCAGTATTGATCGGGGATTAAGAGATTTCGTAGATGCTGTTTAGCTCCTGAAGTTGTACAGGGTGGTCGAATAAGAATATTTCCGTTGTTTTTGCAGGTATGAAAAAATTTAATTAAGCAAAGTTGTTCGGTATAGTGGAGGCTGTGATAAAGCGATAATAAGTTTTCTGCAGCTGGTGGAGTTTCAGAGATTTCACGGTCATTTTCACTTTTTTGAATGAAATTATATGTTTTCTTATATACCGGTTGATGCAGCTCCACATTTTCCGTAAAAAATTATTGACCTGTGTACGTCGAAAAATTGTTAGTTTGGGAAATATTTTAACTTTGTAGAACCCTTTAAATCTTTTGTTTCCCATATTTTTGTGTTTATCAGCTGATAGAAAAATGAATGAAAATGTCGACCACCGGTATCAATGCGATGCTGTTGGAAGTGTTTTAACATTAACATAATCTTTTTTAAATGCTGAATTTATATTTTGAACAGTTTCTCCAATTTAAACTTGTATAAAAAAATCACGCGAATATCCTGATTATTCATCACGTCAGATACTAATTATGAATTTTTTTACTATTCAATACATTGCTACAGCAAATTCCTTCTTCTTGGCTATTGTGTACAAAAATTGATGATCGGACAAAATTTAATACATGGCACTCAGCCGCTAATTTGAACTGTTGAGAAAACCTAATACTTACAATTCATATTTGCTTGATATTTAACGATTTCTTTATAAGAAATTTTACTTAGCAATGTCTTATTTATTTTATTTTATTTATTATTTATTTTATTTATTTTATTTATTTCTTTTATTTATAGAGTCGCGTCAACTGCTGAAGTAATTAGCGACTATATCCATATTCAGTGGTGTTCCTTCTTTTTTATATTCTCTTTGCTATTTTTATTTCTCTGTAGAAACTGATTATATTAGGTCTATGCGAAAGTTTCCGTCGCGTTTCTGATTTAAGTTGACATTTATGCCAATACTACAGCTATTTCAACGTACTGAGTACGATATTAAAAAGTGTACAGTATTGATATTATATTATTACTATTTTTCGAATGACAAATTATAAATATGATCAAAAATAAGTACACATTTCCCAGAAAAATACAATGAGAACTTTTGCATAGACTTAGTATCTTTGCTGAAACAGTTTTCTCCTTTCTTCACTGTGTTTTGGACAATAAAGAATTATGTGGGTCATTGATAATCTCAGATTTCAGATCAATTTAGTGTGTCCTGATCTTGACCTGTTATAGTTTGCTCCTTACGGTTCAAATCTTGCTTGGTTTCTAAATCGTAAAAATTTAGATTTAGATAAATTCCGAAAAATTGAAAGTTAGAAAAAGTTTGCTCTACAATTTTTCCATAGGATGTTCCAATTTTCTCTGCTTAGTACCGAATAAAAGGTTCACTTCAAATTTAATAACAGAGCCGCATTTACACTTTTGGAGGCCTTAGACGCAACATCATTACCAGATCTCCAAAGAACAAGTCAATTTCAGTTAATCAAATTCACACACACTTTTCTTTAAGTTCATTGAAAATAAAAGTCGACATTTCCACAATAACTCGTTTCAAGAAAATGAAAATAACACAAGGTTTGAAGACGTGGCCCAACTTGCGCCTTCTGATAAATTCGGCTCGGTTCAATACTATTTCGCAATTAACAGCGAGTGAAAATCTCGTATGAGACGAAAAGTGGCACTGCAACACGAATGTTTGCCGCGATCCCAATATCGAGAGTAGCATGGTTCTTGCAAAATAATAGAAGAAACTTTTTTCATAAAACATCTATACTTCCTCGTACTTTCGTTCGAGTTATTTCTGTTTACGAAGAGCTTGTACAAGAAGTCCGCAAACGTCATTCGGCATCTTTTTCATTCTATTGGGAATGCTACGGTGAACTGTACATTGAAATTAAAGATACAACATTTTGCGCATATAAGGACAATTATTCGTCGCAGAATATTTCATACAATAACGAAGATCTTTTGGAAATATTTTTTTCTGTTATATTAACATTCGTTATTATTTCCTTGCCGCTTTACCTTTCACAGAAATTCACATGTATTTTATGGGCTCGATTGATATGCACGATGAATAACGAGTTCTTTTATTTCTTATTGAATTCTGTATACACACGACGCAGGGGTATGCTCGTATTAGCCTGTGACGTGA